CTGTAACAGACTTCCAGCAAGATATCTGCCTTGTTGGCCTTCCTCTTCATCCTTACCCATAAGCACTTGACTTGGTCTTCACAGTCATTGATTTCTATACAATCAAAACACTCCCTAACATACAGAGCCACCCCACCACCTCTCCTTCCCTGTCTATCCCTTTGGAAGAGCTTATAGCCATCCATTGCAGCACTCCAGTCATGAGAAGTATCCCACTATGTTTCTGTGATGGCAGCTACATCATAGCTGTCCCTCTGCACAATGGCTTCCAGCTCCTCCTGTTTGGTGCCCATGCTATGTGCATTGGTGTAGATGCACTTGAGCTGGGCTATTGATTTCAAGTCCAGCATGCCACCCCTAGGTTCAACTCTAGTGAGCCTGTTTTATCCCCTTCCTCCTTCAAATCTATTTTAGAGCCCTCTCGATGAGGCCTGCCAGCTCATAAGCAAGAATCCCTTTGCCCCTTGGAGTCAGTTGCACTCCCTCTGCTGCAAGGAGGCACGGTGCCATGTAAACCACCCCAGAATAATTACAGCAGAAGAGGAAAGCTGTATTCGTTATTGAGATTTATATTTGGAGGGAATTCCCTGTTCATGGAAACAAAAATTGCTATTACCACAATTAAAATCATAAGTTGTACCTGACAAAAATCATGATATTTCATCCTAAGTGCTACATGGCAGCATGGGATCAGAGAGCAAGGGCTGTTGATTATGTAAAAAGTGAAAAGAAAATTAATAGCATACCAAAATGCTTTCCTTGGCTCATTTATCCAGAAAGCTGGATTTGTTTCTTTTGCTTTCCCTCTATTCTTCCTCTTCCCTGTGACATATACACACGTGTGCACACAAAATCTTTACCTTTTCCTGGTTACTTACTGGTGAATAAAAGAGAAGCAAGCAGAACTTGTTTTCTGTTTTCTTTTCCTGTTTCCTTTAAGTTTATTGTTGTTCATGAAATGAGTATAATTTGTCTATCTGAAGGGTTGTGGACAGCATATTTTTACTGTGTCCTTCAACTTTTGAGAGTTACTAGATTGTGAGGTATCTGTGTAAAGCAGGCACTCAATCTACAGTAAATGATTGGAAATTTTTTTAGGAATGACATAGCGGAGCATTTGCAGCGTATTTAGTTTTTAAGAGCTTTTACTTGGAAGGTAAAATTGTTAGATTTATAGCTGAAAGATGTGTTTTTTGCGGCGGCTACAGGCAATGGTGGTGTTTATAGGCATCCACTTAGTAAGGATTGTTATTGACCAGCTGTTCTGCACAGCTATGTCCTAATATGTATACGGATGACAATGCCAGTGACCTTTGTTGTTGTTGCTGTTTTATTAGGGATACTTTAGTGAAATTTACTTAAATTCTGTTTCTTGGTAAATCTGCTGAATTTAAGTTATTTGTATTTGCCTTGGACAAAGCTTAAACAAACTTCAAATTGTAGCCTGACCAAAGCTGGAGGGGTAGAAGAGTGGCCCCAGTGCCCCCTTCAGTAGGTTAGATGTTTGGAGTGAGGAGATTTAGCACACAAGAAGTAAGGGTTTCATGACTGTATAACCAGACAGTATGCAAGATCTGCTCTGTACCCTGCTCCAGTGATTGTAAGGTTTCTGAGTGCTGGGTCTCCATCGCTCTTGATCTTGCTGGTAGAAATCAGTATTCAGCTGCCACCAAAATTTGCCTAGGAAAGCCATTAGGACCCACAGCCGAAAGGGACTCTGAAGGACACCAGTTTAGCAAGCTAGACTGGGATCACAGTCATATGGTGTTTGGACCATGCCAGCTGCCCTGCCATGTTGACTCCCTCTACACCCATTGCTTTCCAGGAGTTTAGGATATTAGAAGATTCCATATTTCCAGGCCATGGGGTCAAATTAGCATTTGATAGCATACCTTTTTTTGTGGCTTCTTAGTCTGGCTGTCCCTGGCTCCTGCTGCCATTTGGAGCTGGCAAGCTCAGATCAGCTCTGTCTCAAATTCTCCTAGAATAGTCTGGTAGGATTCAACCTTTCAGTTGCCACCCCTTTGCTAGCCCTTTCTGTAGTTAGAAGAGTCCCACTGAGAAAAGTGACTGTCTTGTGCTTTCTCTTATAAGGGCGAAGGTACTCAGACCTACTTCGTCCCTAAATTCAGATCTTAAGACCAGTCTGGATTGAGCCAAACACTCCTTTTCTAGTTTTTTTGAGACAGTTGAGTTCCATTCTTACACTCCTCTGTGCCCTACACATCCTGTCTTGGCACTGATCTTCTTACAGCACCAGTGAATTTCCCTCCAGGGAGCTGGATGATGCAGGAGCCTGGTCAGCTCCTGCTGAGCTCTGATGAGACATAGCCTAACAGCATACCTCCCAAAAGGCTGGGGGGTCCACCCCTTTCCCCTGAAATTCGTGGCATGAATAAAGCCAATTGTAAGCTGTAACCACCAAGAGTGGCATTTAATGCACTTGGCATGCTGTCATCCTATCATGCAAAGAAGATTAAGCTTGGCTGGTCGTCAAAGGTGAGTTTTGTTAGTTTGAAAAATACTAATTCATGTTTTCTTAGCTCTTCTTCTATTATATTTCCAGGGATGATAAGAAAGATGGATTGAAGTTCTATACTGATCCTTCCTATTTTTTTGATCTTTGGAAAGAAAAAATGTTACAAGATACTGAAGATAAGCGAAAAGAAAAGAGAAGACAAAAGGTAAAAGCAGAAATATAATAGCAAGTATATGTTTTACAGTTTTGTGTACAGTTGTCAAGGCATAAAATTGCTAGGCCATACTTAGTTTGTGTGCAGGGAAAGACTATTCCTCTTTATACGTGGCTGTAGATTCAGCTGGTTCAGTTTTTATAGCTCATACTGTCTATTTAAAGAAATTGGCAAATCGAAGTTTAGGAGAACTGTAGTTATCTTCCAAGATATTTTCTTTAATCCTTTGCCAGGATCTGCTTATGAGTACTCAGAAGAATGGCCCTGTTGTGCTTCAGAAAAAGACACTGTGATTTGGGAGGGGGTCAGGGGGAAGGAATTTGAGTTGTAATTTCCTTTATTTTCATAGTTCTTTATCCAGCATCATTAACTCCTGTAGCAAAATATGAGCTTATCCAGAAATAAGTATTTTGTTGAGTTTTTTAATCCCTTGATAGTAACTCTTTGCTTTTCTACACCTGGTACAGGTTAGTAAGATGACAATACACAGCAAAATTATTCTGTGTTCAGCAATAAGAGGAGATTAATTTTTGGAGTAATACTCTTTGTCTCCTCTAAGTTTAAAACCAACAAAAAAAGGCTTTTTCGTAGAAAAGTGTCTTCAGTCCTTCTGGAATATCTTCAGCAGTTTGATCCAAGATATGTATTCTGATGCAATCAAGATTTTCATAATAGATTTTAATTTTGAATGAAGAAATTAGTTGCTACTTCTGCAGCTTCTTTACGGTCAATTTTTTTATCAAATCTGATGGCTTTAAGATTTTTGAAGATAATTCTGAAAAAAAAAAAGTGAAGAAGGAAAGTTTGAAGCAATGACTACCTATCTTATCTGGTGTAAGGTGCCCTTTTACATAGGTCCAGTGAGAGGTAAGGAATTTAAAATAAAAGGAATCCAAACAAGATGCACAAACTGCTCAGAGGAAATGGAAAGAAGCTACTTAGTTTTCAGTACACATATATACACACCTGTGTATGTACAAATATGCATATGTACCATATATATTAGCATACCTATAATCAGCAATCATAATATATCAGCATATATAAACATGTAGTATACACGTGTGTATATATATTGTCTACTATGTGAATACACATGCTAATATATATACCTAACACATGCTACTATGTATACACACATACACACACACGTGTATAATATATATATGCTAATATATACATTACCTGCTTACAAATCAAATTGTAGGGTATGACTGGAAAGCTTTACTATTCTTCTTTTATTAAATTCTATTAATTCCTTGTTCCTGTTGCTAGACAGAACTTTCCAACTGCAACATTTTTAAACAAAATATGAGGACTTGGTTTAACTAAAACATTTAATGAATTCAGGCTTTTAAACGTTCTGAAAGAAATAAATCAGGTCTTCCTGTTAGGAGTATGAGTCAAAAATGTTTTCTGTTTCAGCAGGTATCTCAGTATTGAAATATTAGATAGAGTTGAAAAAGCTGAGTAAACATTTTCAGTAGAAGTTACTGTCGAAAGCAAAGTATTGGAAAATATTCACTTGGTTATTTGTATAATTGTGCACAAATGTATATGCAAGGTTATAATCCCACTCTGTTCTCAATATGATAAGTCCCAGAGCTGATTAAAAGATGGGAACTAAAGCAACTTCCATTCAGTATTTCTTTATGAAAAATATATAGGGATGATTGTACCCTTTGGGTTTTTTTCTTCCCATCTTTGTCCCTTCGAATTTAGATCTGTTCACTAGAGAGAAGGAAAAAAGAAACTATCAACTGCTAATTTTTTCATTCTGATTTAATATTAAAAAGGAGAAAATACAAAAGCTTTTTAAAAAAAATTACAATGTTGCTTGAAATTTTTTTGACAGTTTCAGAGATCTTTACAAAACCACTTTATATATAAACTTGCTTTTAGACTATGTTTTAGGGAGCATGTCTCACTTATTTCCATCCATGGTATATTTTTGGTAGATTTTAATTGTCTTATTACAGTCTACAAACCAGATGTAAAATATGCTCAATTTGAATAATGTAGCATTGTAGCCATACACCACAGAAATACCCCTTGATAAATTCTACCTGAAGTGCTATTTGATTTGATTAAATACGTAACGAGACCAACTAAGACGAAAGCAGCATATATTTGAGTTTGCATAGATAGGTGTCACTTTGTGACAGGAAGAAATCTGGGTTTTAGCCTTCCAGAAGCTGGTGTGCAAATGAACTTTTTATCATCTCGAACCTTTAGAGAGCTGGAGCATTTTGGTGAGATGTCTTACAGGCACTGTTCATTCCACAGGTTGCTTAACAGACTGTCACTTTCGTTTGTTCTTGTCCTTACGATAGCAGTGACCAGGAATGAGTCCAGAGCATCTATTAACAATTTTGTGGCTGAAGTTGCATTTTGAATCTACTAAGTGAGAATTCCTTATGCAGTTTGTACTCTACAGAAGCAGAAAATACAAAAGTTGTTGAGCAACTGTGCAGGTGAAATGGATGTATTGTTTAGCAAATTATAAACTAGACATCCAAATGCAGTCCTACTCAGCTGAAAAATATAGCTGGTTTTTAGCCTCAATTTTTCAGGTGGTCAGTGAAGCCTGAGAGTACTCCTTGCACCAGAGAATTAGTGCAAGAGAATTACTCCAGACATCCAGTTTCTGCTGGCCACACTATTTCTGATACAGGCCAGGATGCTGTTGGCCTTCTTGGCCACCTGGGCACACTGCCGGCTCATGATCAGCCGACTGTCAACCAGCACCCCCAGGTCCTTTTCCACCAGGCTGCTCTCCAGCCACTCCTCCCCAAGCCTGTAGCGTTGCATGGGGTTGTTGTGGCCGAAGTGCAGGACCCTGCACTTGGCCTTATTAAACCTCATACAGTTGTCCTCAGCCCATTGACCCGGCCTGTCCAGATCCCTCTGCAGAGCCTTCCTGCCCTCCAGCAGATCAGCACTCCCACCCAACTTGGTGTCGTCTGCAAACTTACTGAGGGAGCACTTGATCCCCAATTTATGAGGAGTTTCCTTTTCCTGCCTTCAATTGTCATACTTATTTATTGTTTCTGTATGCAGTTTAACTGAAGAAATCTAACGCAGGTTTTCTCTGATTTGGCTCTTTCAGGTGAACTTTTCCTCTGAAGAAAACTGTAACTCTTTAAAGTTTAAAATCTGTGGTCTACTCTTTGGTTTTTTTACTGTCAAAAGTAAAAAAGATTTTTTTACTGATCAGTAGATCAGTGCCTAAGAGTTCAACGAAGTTACTTTTGACTTTTGCATATATCAGTAATATTCTGAATTGAATGACTGTAGACCAGTTGTTAACCATTGGTTAATGAAAGGAATGTTGTTCTACTTCTCCGCATTTTTTCAGAGGAATGATTAGTTGTTTGAATAAGTAGAAATGTTTAAATATGGAGGGCTTGTATTTTAAAAATCTTTCTTGATGACTTATGATTGATAGGATCTTGTAAATTTGTGAAGTCAAGAAAATACTCGGGGCTCACACTTCCAGTTTTTTGAAATTATTGCAAACACTTACTGAAGCTACTTTCTGTTACTAGCTCTAATTCTTTATTAAGACGCTTGAAATATCATTTGCTAACTCTTGATGCAAATATCAAACTTAAAATTACCTTAACTCTGAGGGCTCTAATATGTTTGTTATGTTTGCTGAAATCACAGCTGAGTGATGTACCTGTTTTCTGGCTTAACCTACAACATCCGCTTGTCTGCCGCAGCTTCTATTACACTCAGTTAAAGGAAATAACTCTTCTTAATATTGCTTAAGTTTCCTAAGAAATATTTCCAACTGTAGTTACTTTGAAAGGCTTCAGCTCCCCTAGAACTCTGTTGTCATTGCCCTAGGTACTAAAACTAGAGCTATCACCATTGTTTGTCAAGGTAATGAAAATATTACTGGAGCAACTTAAAAATACTCTATTAGAGGTATATGTAGGTAGAAGTATATATAGTTTTGTCAGCTGCTAGTAATTGGTCTGCCCCACTGTTTTGGAGGAAGTTAAATGTTTTAGAGATGTATTTATATAATATTTAATTAAAAAAATCAATACCAGTAGGGTTTAGTACTTGGTTTGAGTAAAAAGTGTTCCAGCATATTTATTCATTAGCACACTTACATATGCTGGTCTGGAACAACTATCCAACTGAAATCTGATCCAATAAAAATGAACTAAGCTTTGTGTTTATTTTATGTTGGTTATTTATACATGCATATGTATTTACCTATTTCATAAAAAACATAGTGATCTCTTTAAAACCAAACTTTTAAATAGGTGATTATATGTAAGCAGTTGTGTAAGCACTCCTGATTGTACAGGAACTGTATCAAAATGGTTGTCTTCCGAGCAGCATCATACATTGGTCAAAAGGTGGATATTTACTTTATGTAGAAACTTGGAAGAAATACATAGTTGTGACCCTTAGAGGATGGAGTTACATTTCTATGAGAAGAAAAAACTAAAGCGTATTTTCAGTTAACCAAAAGGCTTACTTGTACTTTCCTCTCAAATCTAGCATGATTTAGCAACAAAATCTTAATAAATGAACCAGGATAAAAGTCACAGATTAAAACAAATTAAATTTTGCAGCAATCAAATGAAAAAAGACAGATGTAAAACCTTTAACAAGCATATATTCAACCATGGCAATTAGCAAAACTTTATATACTTAAAATAAAGCGTGACTGAATCTGTCTCCCTTCTGCTCCAATTCCCGTACTGGAAAATTTTGATGTGAAGAAGTGGTATTAAAGGAGAAAGTAAAGCCTTGCATAACGTAGATAAAAAACGGTGTGATTCTAAAAAGTTTGGGGAGGAAAAAGATTTTATAGGAAGTAATTAAGAACCAAGGTGATGATCTTTACTTAACATGAATCAGATCAAAAATCTACTCACTGCAGGGGCCATGAATGAGCAAATGCTGTAAGAACATTTGGATGTTGAACTTTTCTCTGTCCTTCTTAATGTTAGCAGGTGCAGATCAGCAGGTCCGTCATATGGGCATGCATCAACAAGCAAGAGATGCAAAACAAGGGCAAGTCAGCCATTTGATAGATTTTTTTTTTTGTTGTTGTTAGTTGTATAATGCCAAACACATTATTTCAGAATTATTTACTCAGTGACTGTGTGACAGTTGGAGTAAAATATCCCTGTTCATCTGTGGTGTACTTTTTTCTTTTTGGTGAGGCTGGCTTTCCAACTATTGTCCCTTACTTTGAAGGTAGAGATTGCACAATAAAATGGTTGCATATCAGCGTTTTATAGAACTCTTCTCTAAATATAATTGAATATGACTGCATTCTCAGAATATCAATATAATTTTTTCCTAAGAAATTATTTTTCTAGTAGTCAAAAGCATAATACTGACTTACTAGTAGATAAAACATGCTTAACCTATTTATGAATTAGTATTCTAAGATGTGGGCTCTAGACCTGATTAAAAACAAAATCCAACACCCTTATGAATACTGAGAAAAGGAGTAGCACATAAATACCCTTCTCAGTTTGGATTGGGCAAACTTGTTTGTTTTTCTACTGAAGCACCAGTATGTTTTTTATATTCATACTGAGTAGTCAGAAGTAGGCGAGGACAACATTTCAGAGGTGTGAAAGCATTGAGTCCCACTATTAGGAGATCTTACTGATAAAGAAAAACTGACATTCATTGGGCCTGAAATTACGTAGGAGTATTTAAAAAAACTAGACAGACTGATTTGTCTTGAAGCTATCAAGCTGTAATATATTACTGGCCTGAATAATACTGACACATTGCAGAGAGGATTAGTGTAATTCATTTTTATATAAGATAATGGGAAACAATGATGAGGAACAACTAGGAGGAATTTCAGTAGTTAATCAGATCTAAGAAGGGAAAGGAAGTTAAAACAAACAAAAAAATAATTTCACATAGACTATGAAATAGCAAAATGTTTCTAATTTTTTCTGTGCTTCCCCAGGGCCTCAGGTGATTGTGACCCTAACAAATAACCAAAATAACCCTGAGCATATTTAACATATTCTCATAAGATTGATTTGCAGGAGAAGGAAATTACAAGTGCTTTAGGACGGTCTAAATAAATGACATATGATGTCAGAAGAAGTTAAACGCTCTGGCTTTTAAAATCAGTCACATTTCTGTATTGGGAAAAACAATAGCATGTGCATCCTACACAAAAGGGCAAAGCAGCAGTCCTGCTGCTAATGAGGTTCATAGTGTAAGGAGACAGTCTCATTTTCAGTGCAGAGAAATTTTATGAAGACTTGGCTCTGTAAATCTGGTCTTATTTTCATGCACTCTAACTGCATTTTAACCAGCTTTTTTCCTTTCCTTTTTTTCTCTCTTTGCATGCTTTATTTCTTTTGTTTGAACATTAGGAGCAAAAGCGTATAGATGGCACCACCCGTGAGGTGAAAAAGGTTAGAAAAGCCAGGAACAGACGCCAGGAGTGGAATATGATGGCATATGACAAAGAGCTTAGACCTGACAACAGGTTGTCTCAAAGTGTGTACCATGGAGCATCTTCCGAGGGATCACTGTCCCCAGATACTAGGTGTGTTTACAGCAAAGCTGTTTGTTATACCACAGTTTTATGTTCAGAAATACTGAGTAGAATTAGGTGTTTTTACAGATTGGGAATAGTTAGAATAGATAAAACATAAAATGCATGTTTTAAAGTCCTTCTCAAAATTATTTTAAAGCATAAATAACATAAATTCTGTAATTATTTTTTCTTTCTCAGCTTCAGATGAGCATTTTGTCATCATCATATTATGCACTGTAGTGAAATAAGTGTTTGCTGCATGCTTTATATTTGATCTTGAGTAGCTGTAGTAACAAAAGCATTTAAGTCTACCTCTACTAGATGTCAGTACCTCTTTCTTTGTGAGTAGTTTTCCTACGTTACACTGCTGATAGCTTTATAAATGTTTTTGTGATCTACTCAGTTGAGCATACTTTTGTCTCTAACAAAATGCTTTAATGAGGAATAGTTCAGTTTTATCGATGTAATATTTGTCTAAAAAGCAAGCTACAGAACCAGATGCAACATTGTTGCTTGAAATAGCAGAAAACTCTTAGAGACACACAGTAGAATTCATCTTCATTGTCTGGGATTCCCTTTGAGCTCAGTGGGAGTTACCTTCTGGTGTGCACGGAAGTCTGAGTTTGTACACTAAGCTGGTCTCACTAGAGGATTTTCCCACTTACTTTATTTCCTCTTTCTGCTGTGATTAATTGCTAGCAGTAATGTTAGAATAAATAGAATCTACTGGAAAAAGTGTGTGACAATTTAGTGTTTAAATTGTTGAATGGCTAGGCTGAGGAAGCAGCCACCACTGCAAAAGTGTGGACTTGATACTGTCCAGTCTGCTGTCCAGCGGAGATTAACTAAAAAAAAAAAAAATGCGCTCAGAACTTTGTACATGTAAAGTTTTGGTCTTTGTGGGGAGTAATCATCTCGTAGTTGAAACAAAAGATTTAAAGACAATTGCTACTGCTGTTTCAATAATATATCCAGACCTCCTCTCTCTGTCTCAAATCCTTTAATGACCAATATTTTTTTTTACAGTTTCTAATGCAAAATGTTACCTCCTGTTTGTTATTCTGTAATATTTCATTAAGACTATGCTTTCCATAGGTTGATCTGGTAAAATGACATTGGTGTTCAGCTGTCAAGGGCAAGATGTGGATTTTTCATCATGAGTTCTGTGTTTCACACACTTTGAGTCTTTTTCTAGCCTTAACCCCTTGCTTCCAGGATTCCTGAGTTTAAGTAATCATGTTGAAGTGATTTGTTTTTATCTCCCAGCAATGTCAACATGTATTTGACTGCAGATATCCATAGTGTTTGCAATCGGTAGGATTTTTTTAAACAGAAATTGTACGATGCATCATTATGTTGGATGTAGATGTTGTGGTATGGCAGCTATCTTGTACTTATATAAGCCTTTCAATTTTTAGAATGTATGGAGAACTTTTCATTTCAGTGTATCAAATGTTGGTGATTGAATCCTGAAATCTGTGCTTTACATGCATGAAGGGTTAATTTTGTAAGTGGTAGTGAGGTGGGGAGAAGGCTTTCTGTTTTTTATCTTGGGGTAGTCTTAGCTGTAGGAACTAAGCTATAAAATACCCCCATACATATAGAAATAAGTACTGGTTTCAGAGATGTTTTTATGTTGACAGCTACTGCACGAGCAGTGTTTTATCCATAAGGTCCCAAAGAAGTGTGTTTGGCTATATTGTGATTTTTAAGGCTAAAGTAAAATAAAGCTCATGTTTCTTCTCGCTTGCTGATTGTAAGACTTACACATTAAACATTGACATCCAAGTGTCCAGACTGTGGCGATTTACAATGTATTTGTTATACTTATTGTACTTTAGAGAGAGAAACACAAGCTGAATCCAAACAGAAACCAGCAAATTAATGTGAGAAAAGTAAGAACGAGAAAAGAAGAGTGGGAGAGAAGGAAAATGGGCATTGAGTTCATGAGTGACGCAAAGAAAATGGAACAGGCAGGAAGCATGAAAGAGGACAAAATGCCCAAAGGGTTTGTCATTTTGTTTTACTCAAAGCCCTGGCTTTTTGTTGCTTTACCTTGCTTCCAGTCTTAGAGATAAGTGCATCAGTTTGCTGCGTTTACTAAAAGCCAGGCTGCACGATTGTTCATTACTAATACAACTCTGTGCAGTAATGGGATGAAGAGATCCTTTTGCTCCCTCTCTTGGGCTTATTTGACAGAGCATCCTAGACTTTGTATCTTTATGAACTCTCTGCTCAACTAATATTTACATTTCCCAGTTTCTCTAAGCCTTTCCAGCAAAATTAATTGTGCAAACAAAATAAAAAGCGTTTTCTAACTTTTGAAATTGGTTTTCTCTGCTTTGGTAAAATATATTCTTCTGTGTAATTGTGAGTGTTTGCAGTATTGCTTTCCTTTTTCTGCTGCCATTGTTAACGTAAGGCAGGCCTGATATGTATTATCATTTCAAATAATGGACTGTCAAAATCGTTGACAAAAACAGAGTGCCTCCTCATGGCTACTAAAGAACTCTAAAATCAGGAGAAAGCTCTAATATTTTGGGGCCTTTTTAAAAGTTTGCATTATAGGAGGACATCTGCATGCAGCTAGTATACTGAACTATTGAAAACATTCCGTTTCAGTCCTTTCATGCTGACTTGTCAGACTAATTTATTTTCAAGCTAAACCATGATTTTTTTGTTGCGTTTGTTCTTGCGCTTTCTATGGACTTACAAGGGAATGGTGCTTGATAATCGGGGAGTTCTGTTGCAAGAAAAATAATTCTGATTGCATTCTTTTTAGCTTTTCTTGTGAGCTATTTAGATAATACCCTGTTACACTCACATAATTTGTTCTTCTGCATCCATTTACTTAAATTTTAGGTCCCATGCATCTGATGTTACAGATTATTCTTATCCTGCTACTCCGAATCATTCCCTCCATCAGCAGATAGCAATGCCTTCATATGGAACAGGAGATGGTCCACAGTACATGGCAGCATCCCAAAGCCATGAGCATGAATACAGACCACCTTCCACCACCGTACGACATGCTACTTTAAACAGACCTCAGCAACCACCTCCACCTCCACCCCAGCCTTCAGATGGCCAACATAGCTCAGTACCTGTGGTACCGGCAGAATATGGGTAAAACTCCTGATTTATTCCGGTGATCCTTGACAAAACTAGAGGGATGCATGTTTTTCATAACCATCATAACATATAATACATACACACAAAAAGACCTCAAATATATTAGTTATCTCCCTGGGGAAGCTGAAAAAAATTGATATAATTTCAATGTATGAACTGAACTTAAGTGAAGAAATTGTGAAAGCAGAAATAATGAACTGTGTCTTGAATGTGGTGAAATCAATATGCTTGTAAAATATTAAGGTTTCCTAATATAATATTAAAGGGGATAATTTTCCCTTGAAGTGGAAAATAGTTAACACATAATTTGAATAATACTTTAAACTTTAGGAAGGGTGCAGAAAAAGTATCACTGAATGTGATTAACATGGCAGTCTGTATTACATCCCTGAAATGACTTTTTAAAGGAGCTTATGACAGAATTAGAAGGATCTCCTCAGACACAGAATCAAGTTCCCTACTGCCACAGACACTTCCATAATTCAATATATGAATGTATTGAGCTCCTGTGTAGATATTTTCCCTGAATGCATTCTGAAGGAAGGCTTGCTCCAGAGTAGCAATTGGCTCTCCAATAGCAAGAAAACATCTTGTCTTATAACCAGTCTGTGCCTGTTTTTTCTTTTGCTTAAATAGCTTAAACAGCTTAAACTTTCAAGTTGTAAGCCCAGGAAAGTTGTAATCATTCTTGCCTGTGTCATTTTAAACTAAGCAAGCCAAGGTTTTTCAGCCTCACTTGATGCATCCTGGGGTAGCATTTACCCAATTCATGACTGTGTCATGCTGTAGATGCTGAGTTATGCTATGGTTGACTGCTCCAACCTGCATTTTCTGCTATTTCCAGTTTATAACAGAAATACTTGTGCTTAGTCCCCAGGTGCATGTCCATTATCAGTCTATCACAGTTGTCATACATTGACATTATCACTCAATGTCATCAGTAACTTTCCTTCAGCTCCTGTCTCCTTTATCTAGTTCTTTACCTACTTCATAACTTTTATATTAATTCCCATTTTTTCTGCCTAAGAATTCTTTTAACAACATTTTAACAAAGAAATTGGCTCTTCCCTGTTCCTCCTCTTTACCAATCAAATTTTTCAATTTAATTAAGTAATATTTGAATTGATAAACTTGACTAAAGAAGCACATGAGATGCATTTTATACCTTTGGGTAGATCTTTCCATTCATACTTTCCATTGTCCTCCATGCCTGTCTCTTTTATTATCTCTTAATATTTGTTCTAACACTTGGTCTTCTATGGAAGTGATACACGTAGTCTACAGTTTTCTTAGTCCCTTCTTCATCACAGGCACTGTACTTAATATTCTCACAGAGTAGATGTTTAGTAACAAATACAGCTTTATACTTAACTAGGCAGGAGTATTCAGATAAAATCTCACTTTGTGGAGTGCTGAAAGGACACTGCCTTTAACTTCATCATCTGCCTTAAATCTCAATGTATTATCAATATTTGACAATACATATGTTTATAATCACTTGCATATTTAAGTCACCAGTTTAAATGCCTTTTGATTTTTGTTTTAGCTGAGGTGGGATGAGAGCAGGTTAAGGGCTGATGATTCCCTAAGTCCTAACTTTCAGTGCATTGAATGTTTTTGTTCTGTTTTATATAGGATGCTTCCAGCTCAGATGGTGGATTATTACAATCCTGCAGGTCCTCCCCCTCCTCCCCCTCCCCCTATGATTCCTTCAGCACAAACTGCATTTGTTAGTCCCCTTCAGCTTCCTGTGCCACCTTCCCATTCTGGACTGGTGACTGGCTCTACATACGCAGCTACTCATCCTCCTCCTTCTAGTGGGCTTGTTGTCACTGCTCCTCCTCCTCCCGGCCCACCTCCTCCCCCTCCAGGCCCTCCTGCTACAGGTTCCTCCCTCTCTTCCTCCCCAATGCACGCTCCTCCAGCTACGGAGGCAAAATGTCATGAACCTGCACAGCCACCAATAAGTGATGCACGGAGCGATCTTCTTGCTGCCATTCGAATGGGTAAGTGAGCACTGAGTTTTAGCTATTTCTTTTTTTCTTTTTTTGCAATGAAAAAAGTTCCCAGCTGGGCAGAAATGTCATTACAAGACTAGTTAACCACAGGTACGACACACCTACTCCAACATTTGTCAGCCCTGACTTTGGATCTGTTTCTAAATCCTCATGTTCCAAGATGTACAGCTTTGTTAAATGTGTTCTAGTGTTTGTGTGGACGTAATCAAATTAAAACAGTACTTGTGTTTATTTTGTAAAGTAGCCAGGAGAAGTACATGGATGTTTGGTTCTCTTCAGAAGAACTGAGTTACCCAACACCAGGCTTCAGCCCACTGATTTTTAACCAGTGACTAATGGCTGCTCCTGACAGCTTACACTATGGAGCTGTAGGTCTAATGGTATTTCCAAACAGAATTGTGAAAACGTTCATCTTCAGATCAAAAGAACCTGTACAGTCTTGAATATTTAGTTTTAACATATTGCTGGCAATTTTAGAAGTCTAGAAGCATTCAGCCTCTAGGAATGGACTCCAGTCTGCCTTTTTTGTCTATCTTCCTTGCTGGGGGAGGCTCTTCAACTTAGTGGTTTCTTTTTTTCTTTCTTCTTCTTACTGGATATATTGTTAGAATACAAAATTCACCAATATGAAATTTAAAATCTTTTGTGCAGAAAACTTTGTCTGAGAGTAATTGTCTCTACAGGAATTCAGTTGAAAAAGGTGCAGGAGCAACGCGAGCAAGAAGCAAAGCGAGAGCCTGTTGGAAACGATGTGGCAACCATCCTTTCAAGACGCATTGCCGTGGAATACAGTGATTCTGATGATGATTCAGAGTTTGATGAGAACGATTGGTCAGACTGAACCTGGTCCAAGCCCAGTGGCAAGTTCATGAAATACTTGGCTTCAGTGATTGCTTTCTTAGCAAGATGTAAAGCAGGATGTTGACATGTATTAAGGCTAATGATCGAAATGCTAAAATTGACTTGGTATTATTCAGAATGCTGTAGCTTAGCAACTCTGGTAATGATGTGATTACGCTTATGCAGATCAGAAACTTGTCTTACTTTCAGTATTTACCGCATAATACTTAAGTGCCACTAAATGTAGCAAATCATGTGCTGCGTGCAAAATATGCTGCAGTTGTTGCACTGTTACAGAACCAGCATTTTATTTTACTTTCCTGATCTTGAAGGGATAAAATATATTTTTTGACTTTACATCTTACTCTTTTAATTATGTAAGCATCTTAGGTACTTGTGAATTGGTCTGGTTGTTAATCCTTTGAGGGCAGTCAACTATATGACTTAGTGAAGTGTTGAGTTTCATAAATAAGACTTTTAGGTTTTTTTATTAGTTACTAATTATGTCCACCTTAGTCTATTTTTAATCACTTCTGGGTTTAGGTTTTTTTGCATACAGAATTGATTTTTTATAATCTTTCTTTTTATCTTAAAAACATAGCAGATGATGAAATATATCCTTTGAAGAATGAATCCACATGATACAAAATTAACTTTTTGTGAGCGGACTGGGGAAGTTTGTAACAGTACCAGCTCTAGGTTGCTGGCTGCTTGTTGGGTAGAGTGCTGGGGGGGGTCTCAGGTAGGTAGTGGATGCACATCCATGTTACAAATGAAAGTTAAAATACCTGTAGAGCTTTTCAGTTTCATGGTACAGATCAGGTAGAAGCAAAGACTTCAGGGTAGACTTGATTGAAGCCATATGGTTATTGCAGTGTAGAAATATTACTCTGTTATTACTAAAGATTGGAACTTTTATCAGTCCAGGTCTATCAATCAGCTACATTTCACAAGTGTTAAACTTGGTCTTTATGCCTGTAGCTATAAATGTTTGTAAATAAGTTTTGTTATTGTTGATTTGTACATGTATAGTCATGACAGATCATTTTCCGTTCCCTGTAGCACGTTTACTCAAAACTATGATTACTTTGAATGTATTCCTTTCCCAGTACATCCCACTGATAAAGCATTGGCAGTTAAAACAGTTTTAATGGCTGTTCAGGTACTATGCCATATATATACACTTGTTTGCTCCTTCCCTAGGAACAATTGCTGCCGTACAGTCTGCTTTGGTTGTTTCTGTTTTCTGTAAAAATAATTCCTTTTTTCTTCCGCAGTGCAGTATTAAAATGTTTTTTATTGTTTTGTTTTTTCTCTCTTCTGGACTGAGAGTCAGGCTGCTGCTTTGCCTAATGAGGTTTTTAAAAATGTATTCACAGTGGGGGAAGAGTTCTTTCCTTAGCAGATTAGTTTTAATCTTTGTAACTGAAGTCTGTGTAATTCCAGGTTTAACATTTGGTAAAGCTCCTTTGTTCTGTGAGGCCCGTCTGTTCTTAAAATAAAAAGAGAAATGGAAGATAATTATCTAACTTGTGTTTGCACAATTAACAGTTTTAGTCCTGAGACTGTAACAGTCAAACACCATGTTTGCATGCAAACTATTGGCTCCTTCATTGCCGTTTCATCTGCCTATGATTTTCCAGTCTGTGGTGGCTGTCTTTATGGTAGGATGGTAACATGCTGCCTCAATGTTGGTGTTAAAATTTATTACATGAAGTGTGATCAATCTCTGCATAATGGTGAGCAACTACAGCTCTTGGTAATCGGTGGCAGCTGAAGGTACTCATCTCCGTTTCAGTTGGAGCTGGTTTTATCTTTGCCTTAAAATACAGAGCTGAAGTCTGCTTTGTTTTGTGTCCTGGAGTCCGAGGTCTGTGTGTCCACCACAGAGGACACAATTTAGGCCATAGCCTGATGGTGGTTTTCATCAGCGTAGGAGAATGGGTATGTTCTGATCATCACTGTGTGCTTGTGCAGTGGCTTGCAATACGATTCTTTGGATGGGTAGTTGAAAAGTGCAGCTGGGACTGCAGTGTTACACCCCTGTATAGGTGTGGAGAGTACCCTCACTGTTCTTTTGATATATGCTGAAATGAAATATCTCAGCAGAAAATTCTTTCCAATCTACTGAAATTTGATATGACAGAAGTTATATTTTATGAGCACAGAAGTGGGTGTGTCTGAAATTTTGTAATATGTGTAATTTTAAATAATAAACATTAAAGAAGCAATCAGTTGTGACCCATTAAGATAGTGTAGATTTTTCAGTCATAGTAGCCAATCTGTTTTTCTGAACCTGCGATGTTGTTATTTTCCTTTCAGTATTTTATTAATAAAACGTGAATTGAATTAAGTGATGTAAACTAACATTATTCTAGACTGTCTTTTATCAGTTTTATCATACCTTGGGTTGTGAGTAAGTAACAAATATGAATAAAATCTCACTTTTGAACCTGTCTTTCTTTTCTTAGATTAGTAAGATTTTGCTATTAATCTTTATTCCTTATTGGTAAATAATGGAAATTAAAATGTAAGTCTTCCAAATGGTATCTGTGATCCCAGGAACCATGATTTTACTGGGGTAGAGGCTGGACTCTACAAAACGATGCCTTTAAGATACTGCTGCTTCTCCTAACATACATACTTATTTGTTCTTTTGCAACCTTGATTCAGGCTTCACGTTGAAGTTCTTTGCTGGTGT